TTCTGCCTCACCATCCACTCATGCGTCCATCCTCACGGGGAGGCAGCAATTTGACTGTTTCCCTTGACTAATCCACTCTGAGTACTTCGCAGTCTTTGGGGTCAACAAAGCCCTTTACATTCTCAGAGAGAAACAGCTATTAAATTGCAACATGCTATTTTCTTTCGAAGCAGAAGAAAGCTTTGACTTAAAGAAAAAAAGAAAAACCAAAACAAAACAACAAAAAATACCAACCCTTTGTTCAGGGCCCATACACATAGGCTCTATGTAAATGCCTGCCTTGTGTATATTGTATCAGTCATTACCGGCAGCATGTTTACAATAAATTCTTTAGAACAATATTGCTTCATATCCGCACCAACCAAAAATGATTAATTTTGTCTGCGGGAACCAGTGTTGTCTCCTGTATTCCAACCATAGTTGATCAGTATGTAGCCATCAGTGCATTCAGCCGTGATCATTGTCAACCGTGGCACACTTTTGCAGACTTCCTTTTTTAAATCATAAAAAAGATTTTGTTTTTATCATGCTTTATTTCCCCAAACCTTTTATATTTCAACCAATTACATTAGCATAGTTTCTTAAGTGCTTTCCTTTTGTGATTTGCTGCAAAAAGCAGGATCTTTGAAATGACACAGATGTGAATTAAAATTCATGTTCTGACACCAGCATACTGGCTTCCTTGGACATATTACCAACAGCACTAAGCAATGATTTTCTTAGTGAGAAAATGAGTAAAATAGCTCATAAATCTTAGGGTGTCTGTGAAAATGAACTGTGCGAACATTTGTGATAGTCTAGCATGTTTCCTAACACACAATCTATATTTGAGGTCTAAATTATTTTCTACACTACTTTTAGAAAGTTGGGATCATTTTTTTTGTTTGTGGCCTAGATAACGCCGTAAATGAACATTTGGACTCTTTTCATTTTCATGGAAAATTGTGCACCAGCTTTTCTTAATTCCATGCATTTCTAGACGAATTGATACGTTATTTGGGGATGAATTGCCTGAAGAACGCTTTATTACTTTGTGTCTGTGGTTTCAAACTAGAGATGTTTTCATCCACCAAAAGACATGTAATAGTGCATTCAGGAAATTTGGTTGACACAGCTAGAGAATTGTGGAGAACAGGGGTGGAGAACCTATGGCACCTGTGCCACACGGGGCTGTTAAGTCTCACTGAAAGCTCTAAAAGGTTTGCCTTCACTGATCTAGGGGTCGTGATTTTGGACGGTAGACCTTGTACAGTGCATCACTCCACACTCACTGGTAATGAGGAATCACTGGGCTTAAAATATCCGAAGTGCTGAAGGAAGAAACCTTTTCTTGAATCAGACACAGCACTTAATATATGACACAGTCATAAAATATTTGCTGATGAGAGGACAGGGACCCAGTAGGTAGGGAAAAGGTAGGTCAGAGGCCTCGCCAAGCTTTATTAAAAATGAGGACACATTCAATCCCCAATACCAAAAAAAATAAATAAATAAAATAAAATAAAGATGAGGACACAACTTTGACCTGTGCAGACAGACACAGAAGGGCACAGGCAGCAAGACTCCCTCAATTACAAACACAGAGGCAGCAAGATTGCAGCAATTAGGAAGACAAAGGCGAAGAAAGCAGGTCTGGGAAAGTCACAGGTAGCGTGATTAACATGAGAATCGCAAGCTTTCCCTTTTCTTAACCCTTAAATCTAAGTCACCCGTCCTTAAGGCCCCCACCCCAAATCTTTTCCTCCCCAAGGACACAGAAGGTCTGGTGGCAGAAGAAAGCCCGGCTTAAGATGAAAGACAAAGCCAGGGAACCCAGGGGACCCGCGAGCCTACAGAGGACACGGAAACCTTACAGGAAGAGCTGCTGGCCAGAGCCCAGGAGCAACTCACATTTGAATTTGCCCTGCTCATTGGAGTAGCTGCCAGAACTCTCTCTTTTCCTCTCTTCCCATCTTCGAGGGAGTCATCTCCCTTTACTTGGAACTTGGCCTCTTTAATTCTTTACTGAAGCTGAGTTTAGAAATGCTGGGACTTGTGTTCTCCAGCAAGGCTGTGGTTTGCATCCATGCCTGCCATTGCACTGACAACATGGGGAGGCTGCACTTCCCCTCTGAAAATAAAGCCCTAGGTGTATAAATCCACAGTATCTAAGTATGCCACACATTTTCAAGTTAACTGGAAAGAGAAAGTGTCTTAGTTACCCTTCCCGTAGATGAGACAAATGAAAGTTAGAGGAGGAAAAGTTTATTTAGCTCATACTTTGTAGAGGTTTCAGTCCATAATCTGCTGGTTCTAAGACAAAATGGCACAGCAGAAGGGCGTGACAGAGGAGAACAGTCCGTGGCAGGGTAAATGAGAGAAGACACCAAGCTACAAGCAACAATAGCAGCTTCTTTCTGCCCATTTTATATTCTCCCTAGGCTGCTCAGGTGAGGGCCGGGCCAAACCAACCACTGGGCTGATGTAGTAATCACACACTTAATCCCAGAGTCACAGTCTAGATCCAGTCACCTCTGAAACAGCCCCACCTGTGACTGCATGAAGCTACGGGGGGGACATCTGGACACAGCCAAAACAGCAAGGGATGCTGGAAACTGCTACTTTATCAAGACAATTTGTTCTAAACCTGTTTATTTGAAAATAAATTAGTTTCTGTGTCTAGTGCTGTGTGTTCATAAAGGCATTTTTTGGGGGGTACCAGGGATTGAACCTGGGTCCTTGTGCTTCTGAGGCAGGCGCTGGAACCACTGAGCTAAATCCCTGGCCCTCTAAAGGTATTTTAAAAAGATACAATAGAAAAGGATTAGCATGCACTTTTACCCATGTTATCAGAAAGCCACAAGGCAGTAGAATTAATGGAGGAGGATAACCTCTGTTACCTGTCCAGTACCTGTCTGTTCAGTGAGCATTTAGGTAGCCAGAAGAATCAACGCTCCCAGATAAAAAGCCCACTAGCGGTCGATGTACGCTTCAGATTAAGTCAATTGCAGCCCCGGAGGAATGACAGTAGCCAATATTGTTCTGCACAATCTAATTAAAGAAAGCCAGGGAAAATTCAGAGTGTTGCAACAGCTCTATCAGGTGTTATCACTTCACAAACTGAACATATTTGATGAGGTACAAAGAGTGCAGGAAAAAGAGCCACGCTATAGAAAGATCCATGAAGGATGAACTGAAGAAAGCAACTATCTTTGTGGGATCATAAATTGACTCATTTTTTTCCTCAAAGAAAATATTAATTTCTCTATGTTTTATTTTGGTTTGTTATTGTTGTTGTTGTTGCTATGAATTTGAGGCAGGGTCTCACTATGTAGCTGAGACTGACGTGGATCTCACTATGTAGCCCAGGCTGGTCTCAAACTCACAGAGATCCTCCTGCCTCAGCCTCTGAAGTGCTGGATTATAGGCGTGAGCCATCTATGTTTTATTTTGTACATCTCTATCTTAAAGGTTGCTGAAAAGTTTTTTTATTATTGTTATTGCTTCAAAAGTTTAAAATTATGTAATTGGACACCTGAAAGAAGAAAGATAAGATAAACATTCTACTGCCAAAAATAAAATTTAAAGGTACATTTCTGTGTATCACATACAGATGATGGTAAAACACTGCATGGACTTGTCCCATTTTTGGATTGTGTGATAAGGCAAATATTATTAGTAGTATTTAAAATAAAGGAAAAAAGAAACCTAGGGTTATGTGGGTTAAGTAGATCAGACAAGATCACAGATGGATAAAGGATTCACAACCTAATTCACAATTTCACATCCTTTTAAAATCAAATATGACTGTACAACTCCACATCATCGGACATCTTTAGAGATAGGAACATGCCTGAGATATCTCTACCCTATGACCCAGCAGGCATCGGATCCAGTGGCCCCCAGGAAAGATGCTGCCAAGCCTCTCTTGTGAGTCACTTTTCTTGTCTACACAGTAAAGTGAATAAGGGCCTGGCAAGTGGTTAGAGATCAGTAGGCCTGAGGGTCCAGGGTGCAGTCCCAAGTAGTATTCTTTGTCAGTCATGCTGAAGTGAAAAACGTCAAAGACTTCTATGTCCAACACTTTCACAATCATTTATTAGGTCTCACACCCCAAGACACGGGGCCTCTGCTTTCAGAACAAGGCAAGCAGATGTCCGCAATCATATCAGGGAAGAAAATCTTTCAAGACCTTTCCGCCTTGGGCTGGGACTTGGCTTGAATTAAGAGATTATTTTACCTTTCGTAAATTTATTAAAAGATTAAGCCTTCTGAGGGAGCTGACCATCTGAAAAGGAGAACAAGAAGTTTTTTTTTTCAATTAAAAGTCTCTTCCGAGTAAAACGATATGCATCATAATCCTTAAACCCCAGGAATAATTCTTGTGTGTACAGAAAAATATCCAGACTTTCACTTTGTGTTAGTTACTTTTCTCTCATCGCTAAGACAAAGAATCCCACACCTAAACTTAAAGAGGAAAGGTTTATTTAGCTCACATTTTGTGGAGGTTTGGGTCCATAGCCAGCTGGCTCCAAAGCAGCGTGGTTCATGACAGAAGGGCGAAGCAGAGGAGAAACAGCCCATGGAGCCCACACGGTAGCAAAAGCAACAAGGGACCTTAGCAGGGTCTTCCTGCCCCTTTTATATCATCCAGAGTACCAGGATCAGGGCGGTGCCAAACCAGTCATGCAAGTGTAGCGGTTTAGGACACCCAGCATCAATCACACAGTCGAGATTCAGCCACCTCTGAAAAAGAAAACGGCACCACATCCACATGAGGCTATGCGAAGATGTCTAAACACAGGCCGCAACACACACGGTTCAGACGATATCCTCACTTGGTCTGGCTTCTTGCTTGAAGGTATCACTCTCTCTATGTGTACTGTACAATAAATTCCCCTTGTTCATCTGGCCTGACGCGTATGAGTCTTCACTGAATTTTCACCGAGGTCACAAAAGAACTCAGAATGTTCCCAAGGACTGGTTCCCGGTGACGGGACCCTGATTCCTGGTATCAGAACATTACATAACACACAGTTGGGGTAAAGATAAAAATAGGTTAAAACATGTCATTAGGAGAATAATACGTGATCTGCATCAGCATTTTGAGCTTCTCAATATTTTTAGTCAACATATATGCTTAAGTAATATATTTTGATTTTATATAAACTATGAGAAACTTATAGAAAGTATAGTGAACTTATTTTCAGAGGGAACTGTATATGCTACTATTATTATGGAAAAAATGTTTAATATCTTTTCTTCTAAAAAATTCCAACTTTGCCTCTCCTCTGAAATTGTATATTGTTGCTCTATATCACATTGGACAATGAGAGACAAGAGACCATTTCTGATACTTTATAGTAATTGAAACATTAGGGAGAGAAAAATATATATGGGGAAATATTTCCTCTGTCAGCTTTGGGATCTGAGTCCTTCAGCTTTTTCCTTCACAGACTTTATATATTATTATTAATATATTTTCTTTTGATACTGGGGATTGAACTTGGATCCTCGCGCTTAGGAGGCAGGTGGTGGAACCACTGAGCTAAATCCCAAGCCCCTTCACAGGTTTTAATTTGTCTTTAATTTATTAAATTTATTGGTGCATTTCAGGTAGACAATGTGATGGCATTCATCCTTGGAAATTTGTACCTTTACATGATGCATCTTTGTTCGTATTTTTTCCCGATTGCCCTGCCCTCCCTTCAACTCCTCCACCGTTCCGTATTTACAAAGACTTTGTTTCTGTTTTTTTTTCCTTTTCTCATATTTTTTTTCCTTTCCCTTCTTTCTTTTCTCTCACTCTTCCCACTTGGCCTTTGGACCGTTTCTTCCTGTTTCGCATTATGTATTATATATTTCGATCCTCATTTCCATTTTCAGTTTCTTACATCAGAGAAAGTATTCGGTATTTTTATAGGATGCTGGCTTAGGATTTTGTACACAGCTGCGGTAACAATCCCTGTAGAGATATGTTCAAACCAGCAGCCTCTATTCATATGCAAATCCTACCCTTCCTTCAGATTACAGCATAAAAGCCAGTAAACCTCCCCTGGTTCTTTCAAGCTTGCGATTCTGTGTAGCTTCTCTGAACTCAGTGAGTTCTTTTTGTGTGTGTCTCTTAGGAACACATTCTTAAGGAAATGTTGGTAAGAAAAGAGTTAGTATTACGCTGTTAAAAATAAATGTAGAGAAGGAAAAAAGGTACCTTGTGTTCTTGTACTAATGGCCACATTAGCTATTAGTATCTTGCTTTTTGTTGTTTTTCCACTGTTTCTCCAATATTCAGTCAATGCACATTTTCATACATAACTCTAATTGAATCCGTTTGGAAAAACGACCACTTCTTACATATTAAATAAGACTTGACAATATTATTTATCCACTAAGTCACTAAAAATTCTCCATTAATCTTCTTCCTTTTCTAACAGGAAATCTGGACTCTCTTTGATCATTATATGCTATACTACACTGCAGTGGGAGGAAGCCATAAATTCTGAATTGTGCATTTCCCCCAGGGCCTCTGTAATAGTAGGTATTCAACAAATATTTGTGTACTGAATAGCTCTCATGTTATTGCATTTTGGAATCCATGGAACGCATTTTGTCATTTAATGATGTCGGTGCCCTAGGAAAGACGAGACCTTTTTTTTTTTACTTATTTCACGGGTAATTTAACTTTGAAGAGTGTGAGGTCACCAGAAGGGACCATCCATCCTGAGTCTTTTGTCTCTGGGCTGGCATTACCCTCACCATAGCCAGGCACCTTAAATTGAAGAAATGAATGGATTCCAAGGGGATCTTTCAACTCGGATTTATGTTCTTTGTAGGAAGGCCAAGCAACTCTTCCCTGTAACATTAAAGTACGAATACCCTGAGAGAGTTGAGGCGTTTCTAATGAATTGGTCTTCAAATCTTCTAAGCACACACAGTGCCAGAAGCATCATTTTGATGAATAGCCCCTAAACTTTCTAAAAATGAAGTTGTAATGGCAAATATCAAATGTTTTAAACAAAATCAAGCTCAGACATTCCATTTAAATCTTGGTAAAGTTCCAGGTACATTAAAAGAAAATTAAATCAGTTTTAGGAAGCAGGACTTTCATATTTTACCTTTATTTTTATACAACTATCAGAATCTTTGTTTTTATTTCCCTTCCTAGGATAAAAATGGTCCTTGAAATAGCAAATTTCTGTCAGGTCCCCAAGTGCCATAATTGAAATAAATGGAGGAAAAAAGAACTTTTAATTTTCGATGCTTTTTCGGTGATAAAGAAATGTATCAGCCTGAGCAAATGACTAGACCAATTTAGACTTGTATTTTTGGAAAAAACATATTTTCACTTTTATAAATTGAGTTAAGCACAATAACATCCCTAAGAGAATTTAAAGAATAATGATACTTATTATTATTAAGTACCCTCTGTGTAAAAGATACTGTTTTGGGCTTTTTAGTATATCACCAGTTCTAAGGCAACTACTGAAATGTTCATTATACAAATGAGAAACTAATCTCTGAATTATTAAGGATCTTGGCACACTCACATTCCTACGATATGATGGACTGACTTCAAAATCTCCACCCTCCGTATTTCACACAACTATGACAAAACTCTATAGATCATGTTGCATAAAGATGAATAAAACATTTTAGCATGTCTAATGAATTGTTTTCCTGTTTATTTGCTAAGAAAGTCACTAAGACTTTCTGATATTGCAGCATTCATACAACTATTAATAATTCCACACAGGCAAGATTTGTTAATACAGATTTAATATGCACCAGTAAAAATTCTTTCAACAGCTTTGCATACAGGAATTTGAAGTGGTAGGAGACAGGCAATATTAATACCTAAGTCCTATCCTTTCATAGAAATGGTTGGGCTGTGCCAGGGACTCCTAGGAAAGTCTTGAGAAAAGGAAATAGAACATTTAAAAAATCTAACAGGTTTTTTCCTGCTAACAGTATATACGTGTGTGTGTGTGTGTGTGTGTGTG